CTCCCTTTCCTCTCCTTTTCCCTTTCCTCCTCTCCCGAACGCAGAAGAAGCGGCCGCGCGGTGCGGCGATCTCGGCGGCAACGATCTCTACGGCGTCGCTTTGCAGCGAACTCGGCGGCGGCAACGAAGCAGCGACGACGAAGGGGCTGGTTGACGAAAGAACAACTTCGTTGACTGAGGTAGTCGAGTTTTTTCCTTTGTTCATGGATACTCATGTTCGTTTGAGTAGATTGGAGTTAGGGTTTCATGGCTTCGACTAGATCTGGGTTTTCCTTTTCCTACGTTTTTTCTGGATGAGTTTGATGGATTTGTTTTCTGGTAACTTAGATTTGACTGGATCTGGGGTTGCTTTTTTTTTTTTGGATTTTGTGGATATGTTTTCTGGGTTTGTGGATTTGATTGGATCTGGATTTGGGTTGCTTGATTTGTGGATTTTGTGGATTTGACTGGATCTGGGTTTTGTGGATATGTTTTGTGTGCGTTTCGATATTAGTTCTGTTCCAGCAGGATATCAGTTTTCAATTGTCTGGATAGTTGTGTGGTTGGGATCTGGGATTCGAATTGTAGATCCAAAACATTAGTTCCTTTCATAGTGGATAACAATTAAATTGCTAGTGGATATGTTTTCTAGGTTTGTGGATTTGATTGGATCTGGGTTTGGGTTGCTGAGGTTTGTGGATTTGACTGGATGTGGGTTTCATTGTTTTCTGGGTTTTGTGGATATGTTTTATGAGAGTTCCGATATTAGTTCTGTTCGGCCAGGATATCAGTTTTCAATTGTCTGGATATTTGTGTGGTTGGGATCTAGGATTCGATTTGTAGATCCGAAACATTAGTTCCTTTCATAGTGGATAACAATTAGCATGCTTGGGATACTATTTTTTTATGATGTGGACATTGTTCTGTAATTGATTGTTCGGATATTAGTTATGTGATGTCTGGATATTTATTTACTCCGTCTTGATATTTCTCTGCCTTATATGGATGCTAGTTCACTTATATTAGTTCTGTGCAGTTGAGATATCTGTTATATTATGTCTGGATATTTATTCGTTGTATCTGGATATTACTTCTATAATGTTAGTTCTGTGATGTCCAGATATTGAAAATATTATGTCTGGATATTTGTACTCTATGTTTGGATATTTGTTCTCCATGTTTGGATATTTGTTTGCTCTTTATTGTATGGATTATAGTTACCTTATATTAGTTCTGTGTGGCCAGGATATTAGTTGATTTATACGTGGATATTTATATATGCTCCAGGGATATTGGACAATGGCAAGAACAAAAACAACAACAAAGAGACCGTAAGAGAAGGATCATCCCAACCTCGCTCGTGGCATGATCGAAACTTGGGGAGCTCGGAGGGACATGATAAAAAAGATAATCGAGAATTTGCACAAGCAAGACAACATTTGAACTATTCCTTTTCCGTTTTTATGTGGTTATACTTTTTTAGATTTTAGATTATGGGATTGCCAAGTTGAAATGACAATAAATACTAGTTGTATCGCGGTTTATCGAAAAACGACTTTGCTTTATTATGGATTTGCTTCACTAAATATCAACACAAACAAACATTAATAAACATCCACACAGAACAAATATCCAAACTACCGAGACTATTATCTGACCGTAGCAAACTAATACCCACCACACACAGATTAATATCTGACCATCACAGACTAATACCCACCACACGCAGATTAATATCTGACCATCACAAACTAATACCAACTACACAAACTCTAAACCCTAATCGCTAAACACTAAACACTAAATCCTTAATCCTAAATCCTAATCGCTAAACAGTAAATTGGTGTAATATGATTGGCTAAGTGTGTGATGCTAGATGCTTAAATAAACAAAGGATCACATCAGAATAGTTACCAAAAGTGCCCCAATATCTGTACAACATAAAAAAATATCCACATCACCCAGACTAATATTCGTTCCTACCATAAGAAATATCCGCACCAACCCTAACTAATATCCACCGGTTACAGACTAATAATATTCTGCTACACAGCCAAAATATCCACACATCGCGAACTAATATCCTCCAATCACATAATAATATCTTATCACCACAGACTAAAATCGACCACCCTACATTGTGTTCAAAACCATTTCCACAATATTGCCTTCTAAACCCGAAACCCTAATCGCTAAACACTAAATCCTTAACCCTAAATCCTAATCGCTAAACCGTAAATTGGTGTAATATGGTTGGCTAAGTGTGTGATGCTAGATGCTTAAATAAACAAAAGATCACATCGGAATAGTTATCAAAAGTGTCTCAATATCCGTACAACATAAAAAAATATCTTCACTACGCAGACTAATATTCGTTTCTACCATAATAAATATCCTCACCAACATTAACTAATATCTACCCCTCACAGACTAATATCCTGCTACACAGCCAAAATATCCACACATCGCGAACTAATAACCTACAATCACATAATAATATCTTATCACCACAGACAAAAATCGACCACCCTACATTGTGTTCAAAACCATTTCCACAATATTGCCTTCTAAACCCGAAACCCTAATCGCTAAACACTAAATCCTTAACCCTAAATCCTAATCGCTAAACCGTAAATTGGTGTAATATGGTTGGCTAAGTGTGTGATGCTAGATGCTTAAATAAACAAAAGATCACATCGGAATAGTTATCAAAAGTGCCTCAATATCCGTACAACATAAAAAAATATCTTCACTACGCAGACTAATATTCGTTTCTACCATAATAAATATCCTCACCAACATTAACTAATATCTACCCCTCACAGACTAATATCCTGCTACACAGCCAAAATATCCACACATCGCGAACTAATAACCTACAATCACATAATAATATCTTATCACCACAGACAAAAATCGACCACCCTACATTGTGTTCAAAACCATTTCCACAATATTGCCCTCTAAACCCGAAACCCTAATCGCTAAACACTAAATCCTTAACCCTAAATCCTAATCGCTAAACCGTAAATTGGTGTAATATGGTTGGCTAAGTGTGTGATGCTAGATGCTTAAATAAACAAAAGATCACATCGGAATAGTTATCAAAAGTGCCTCAATATCCGTACAACATAAAAAAATATCTTCACTACGCAGACTAATATTCGTTTCTACCATAATAAATATCCTCACCAACATTAACTAATATCTACCCCTCACAGACTAATATCCTGCTACACAGCCAAAATATCCACACATCGCGAACTAATAACCTACAATCACATAATAATATCTTATCACCACAGACAAAAATCGACCACCCTACATTGTGTTCAAAACCATTTCCACAATATTGCCCTCTAAACCCGAAACCCTAATCGCTAAACACTAAATCCTTAACCCTAAATCCTAATCGCTAAACCGTAAATTGGTGTAATATGGTTGGCTAAGTGTGTGATGCTAGATGCTTAAATAAACAAAAGATCACATCGGAATAGTTATCAAAAGTGCCTCAATATCCGTACAACATAAAAAAATATCTTCACTACGCAGACTAATATTCGTTTCTACCATAATAAATATCCTCACCAACATTAACTAATATCTACCCCTCACAGACTAATATCCTGCTACACAGCCAAAATATCCACACATCGCGAACTAATAACCTACAATCACATAATAATATCTTATCACCACAGACAAAAATCGACCACCCTACATTGTGTTCAAAACCATTTCCACAATATTGCCTTCTAAACCAGAAACCAAAAAACTCGAACCCAATACCCGAAACCCTAATCGTAAACCCTAAACCCTCACTCTCCTACTATTATTGTTTCATGGGCCTTCGGCCCATAGGCCCTAGGCCCATAGGCCCTAGGCGGCAGCCCTAACTAAGGTTGCAAGCCTTATGTGTTAGGACTTGATAGTGTGTTAGTTTTGATGGAAGACACAATATCCATTACATCACAAACTAATATTCATTGCATATAATATCAGTTCATGAAAAAATAAATATTCATACGGAAAAACAGATAAATTTCTACACAAACAAGCATAGATAAATATCACAAATTAATATCCAACCATTTAGCAATAAATATCCTCTATAGCCAAAAAAAAATATTCATTGTAACCACACAAGTGAGAAACAGAAAAAGAAAAAAAAAAGGTGTTGAGAGATAGAAAAGTGGTGGACCCAACGCCACTTTTCCTTCCTCTCCCATTCCCGCCCAAATTATGGTGGACCCAATGCACCTTTTTCAGTTTTGCGGCTGGGCCGGCTCATCTCCAAGTCCAAAATTTTAGCTCACTTAAGTGAGCCATTACAAGCCTTCAACCCTCCTCCCTTGGATCACTTGTGGGCCGACGTGGCTATCATCTCCACCGTGTCAGTATATGCTAACAGATTCCCCTGTTAGGAGTTTAACTTTTTCGGTCCCCTTTCTTTGTAAGATTCCCAATGGGATATTTTTATAGGAAAATAGCAGCTTGGGGAGCAAGCTTGCTACAGTGTGAGTTTTGGGTTGGACCGGTTCAGGTTTGGGTCAGATCAGCCCGGGGTTGACTTTTTGTTGACTAGCATTGACTTTTGTTGACTGAGTTGACCAAAAGTTGACTTTGACTTTATTTTATTTTTGTATTTTGTTTGTATTTAATGTAAATGTATTTAGCATTATTATGGAATAGCATTGTGATTGTAGTTTTTATTTATGTTTGATTTAATTCGAATTTAGTTTAATAATATGCTTATTTATCTTTTCTTATTTACTTACTTTTATTGCTTCAAAAATTGAGGTTTAATCCTCACCAGGTCCAAAGTCTTAAGAACCAATCTAAATATCAACTCACACAACTGTTATATCGCCTAATTCGTCAAACCAAAGCAAAACAGGTTAACTCTCGCTATCAAATCATATCGATCGAGATTTGCTATTGCTTAATCTTATCGAATTGTGATTAATATAACCAATCTAAATCACTAAAATATGTTTTAACAAGTTGTTCATTTTAGATTTGCTATTGCAAATTTTAAACAAAAATATGTTTTGACCCGGACAAAATGTGGTGTCTACACCCTGCCTTCTAAGTTTGTGATCTGCCTGAAAATCATCGGAACAAAGATGACAGTACTTTCTCGGTATAATTTCAATGGCTACTGTTAACACAGAATGAACTAAGAGGATTCATATAAGTTAGTTAAGCTTGTCAAGGATGAAATGGTAGAAGGTATAGGGCCCTCCAGAAAGCAACTTATAATTGTTTGAATACATGAAAAAGGCGAAGTCATTACCATAAGACGCAAATTGAACAACCAGTAGCGAAAGGAGATATTTCTGAAGGATTTGGTCCCGAAAATTATTAGCTTTATGTTCCTGCAACCATGGGTAGAAATACCGTTGTCAGTCAACTCTCGGACAAACAAATTATTAAGACTGAGCTATGAAGAGAAGGTTAAAGTATTGCCAACACTACCAAGCTTCCGTAGTTCATTGTTAAGTGATTAACAATTAAGCAGCTAACAGTCATTGGTGAAATATAGAAGATTTTGCTACACTTTATTCTACCCCATTACACAATACTAGCGAATCTCCTAATAAATAATTGCTTTCAGATCTCTATTGCATTTAAAGTTTTTGAATCCAGGATGTTTAAGGATGAAAATCTAGTTGACAGAGATACCTAAAATCAGTGTTCTGAAGTTTGATGTGGTCAAACTGGGAAGAGAACAAGTAATAATATAATCCAGTTACATACAGGTTTATGACTCCCACAAGTTCACCTGCTGATCATTGGCTGATGTCCCATTTCATTGTAGACACATAAATCCTTTGTAACCTGCCAATTAATCCCCAAAAAGCAATACCACCAAAACAACTACTTATTTAGAAACAAGAAAGGATTCAAAATAAAGCAATCTGATCGAAACAATTAAATGGAAAATCACACTTAAAAAGGAAGAGGGATAATTCACCTTGAACTGAGGTTTGTTTCTTCCTCTGCCCAACAGTCACAGTCCACTGACCTAGCAACTATCATGAAGAGAGCCAGACAAAAAATTCAAACCTATCAGAAGCATTGAGCCAATTTAGAAGGTAGAGTGAGCAAAACTGAAAGATAGGATGAAGTTAACTATTTAACAGGTGATGAAGTGATAAAAGTGAAAGATAGGATGAAGTTATAGTTGACAGCCTATGTTTTGGATCACCAATGAATATTCAATGAACCTCAATCAGTTATTATCATTATGAGATCCAATATATTGTGGAGAAGGAAGAGCAAGGCAGTGGACCATTTACCTACCCAAGCACCATCACTTGCGAGACAATCATTAAAGCTTAGGAAGCGTGGCAATCCAGTAACTGTAGCCATAGAAGTCCCAATTCATGACTGTAAAAGGACAAAAGAAAAGAAGAGGAAAAATCACAAGTCACCAAATAATCTATGTATATCGATATAGCAAAAATCTCATTTCTTGTACTCTGCATTCATGGCAGCCGTGGAACAAATCTCATTTCTTGTACTCTACATCATGGCAGCCGTGGAACAAATCTAAAACAACATAATTCAACGAGGTAACCAAAGTCCAGAATCCAGGATCACCGGCAGTGGGTGATACTGATACCATACACTACAAGTACCAGTTGGCATATGAGCACAACTAACTAATTGGTAATATAAACATAAAACCCAATGGTAACTGCATACCTTAGTGTAAACATTAAGGTTGACTAGGAACTGTATCTTATCTTGATTAATCAATTGGCAACCATATCTTTGGACATGAAAAAAAAAAACATTTGTGAGGAGATTCATACTAGATATGATGTCGCCTCTCAGTACTATCATTAGCAAAGCTAGTCACAAGGGTCTCAATCCACGAATGGAAAACATGGAGTTCTTCAAACCTCTTTAGTTCTCTCGATCAACCAGAACTCATGAAGATAGGTAGATATCCACCAACACAGGACAAGATCTGAAGAGAATCCATACAAAACTCAAGGCAATTCAGATTGAAATAAGAACAACTAAGATACTGAGATACATACCACTTAAGTGGGATCTTAGGCGTGTTTCTCTTGGAGAAAGCAGAGTTGAAAATTCAAGTCTCTCCAATTTAGTCGAACTCAATTTTGCCCCCTGCAACAAGATATTCCAAAAACCTAGCTTAGAAAAGAGAGAAATCAGGGAGACGAAAGGAGAAATTCCTTCCAGGGAGGCGTTATTCTGGGCCCCTACAGTGTTGGTGGTGGTTCTGGTGGCTGTGGTGAAGCTGCAAAGATCAAGGCATCGAGGTTGCTGCGATGGTGACAGAATTCGAGAGCGGCGGTGGTGAGGTATTGGACACCATGGCTAGGATTGGAGAAGATTGGGAAGAAGATCCGTTCCTCACGTTTGTAGATTACGCGAGGTCAGTGCTTTCAAAATCGCAGCTGCGCTTTCGCGTGGACTTCGTAGCGCTCGAAGTAGACAGGAGCATGCTTCGCCTCCATGATTTGCTCAACGCCGCCGGTGACGATAGAGCCAATTTCGTCGTCGGTAATCAAGGTGACGGAGCGTGGAGCTCTGCCTCCAGGACGTGGCATGAGGCACGACGGAGGAGGCGATAAAGAGCCAATGGATTTCAGGGGGTTGGAATGATGATTTTCGCAAGTGCAGATACCACGACTAAATCCCTGAATCCCAAAGGATAGAAAATTCAAAAGAGATTCAAATCGGACTTCGACTTAGCTCAGTATAAGGAGAAATCAGAAATATGCTCGGATCTGAAGTTACCTTTTGAAAATCTACAGGGAAGAATGATCGAACGAAGTAGACGAACTCTTTTCTTTCTTCAGAACCGCGATTCCTCTGGAGACTGGAGTAGCTGGATCTCAAAAGAATCGGAATTAAGAGGATACGGAAGAAGATGAGGAGAAGTTGGACGGAATCGAAATTAAGGAGAAGTGGATTCAGAATCGGAATTGAGAAAGAAGAGGAGAAACAGAAGTTGGACAGAATCGACATTGGGAGGAGATGAAGGAAGAGGAGAAGTTGAGTATAGGGGCTAATGGCTATAGGCGGAAGAAGGAAGGAGAGAGAGGAGAGTAAGAAAGCGTAAAGGTAGATCTTTATTCGCAATTACTACTACAGTCACTAAATTGTAATAGTAGTCATATATAGTATTTACATTTTCATAAACATCAATACAATGACAACCAAACAATTTAGTTGTTGAAATTTTTTTGTGGTTTTACAACCAAATTATGTAGTTATTTGAGATTTTTTATGTTCTTATGTAAATTCATAACCAATAATTAGAGGTGGCAATTAGGATCCAAATCCATGAATCCAATCCAATCCATCCACCAAATTATCCACCTAATCCAATCCATTTAAATCCAATCCATTTGATCCAAATCCAATTGGATTGGTGGATTCATGGATCAATCCATGGATCCAAATGACAAATTACGATTTGGTACCTATATTTTTTATATTTTACATTTTAGTACCTAAAATTTATATTTTTATACGAAAAATAACATTGGAAAATTACATTTTGGTACCTAAAATTTTTCATCATGACATTTTAGTACCTAAACTTTTCAAAAATTACATTTTGGTCCAAGCCTTGGATGTCATTTGGATTCATGGATCAATCCACCAATCCACTTGATCCAATCCATGAATCCACCAATCCATTGGATCCAATCCATTTGATCCATGGATCCACGAATCCAATCCACGAATTCACGAATCCGATCCAATTGCCACCTCTACCAATTCACGAATCCGATCCAATTGCCACCTCTAGCAATAGTAGATGGGCATAAAAAGCTCAAAAATATAGTACATGGGCACGTTTGTTAATTAGCAATAGTAGAGGGATATAAAATGCTATTAATCATTCTTAAAAAGGACTACATAAAAAGCACAAAAATATAGTACATACATGCGTTTGTTAATTAGCAATAGTAAAGGGGTATAAAATATTATTAACCCTTCTTAAAAAGGACTAGAGTTGGGTAAAAATGGAAGATTAGCATAAAATGCTATAATCCTTCATAAAAAGGAAAAATATAGTACACGGGCACATCTGTTAATTAGCAATAGTAGATGGGCATAAAAAGCACACAAATATAGTACATGGGCACGTTTTAATTAGCAATAGTAGAGGGATATAAAATGCTATTAACCATTCTTAAAAAGGACTACATAAAAAGCACAAGAATATAGTACATGGACATGTTTGTTAATTAGCAATAGTAAAGGGATATAAAATGTTATTAACCCTTCTTAAAAAGGATTGGGTAAAATTGGAATACATAAAAAGCACAAAAATATAGTACATGGACATTTTTGTTAATTAGCAATAGTAAAGGGGTATAAAATGTTATTAAACTTCTTAAAAAGAACGGGGTAAAATTGGAAGATTAAAAAGGACTAGAATTGGATTAAGAAAGAAGATGTGAGATTCGAACGCATAACATTTCCCTCACATCTTTTACTACCAAACAAGCCTTAAGACCACTAAGCCAACATAAGTTCGTGTGTTACTGGATTACGATTTTACTTATTTGTAGAGCTTGCTGAGGGCTGGCTCCGTCCCAAATGGTCACCTTCTTCATCGCCTCTATAAATATCATCACAATTCACAATATATAGCTCTCCCATGCACTTCCCTCTTCGCCTCTTCTACCACAACATATAATCGTCTAATTCACCCCTAATCTTGTTAAGCTTCTATCTTCACCGGTTAATCCCTCCGATCATGGACGACATTGATCCTGATCATTGGCTGATCGACGAGCTGTCCCACCTCACCATCGGAGACGGCGGCATTGCTTCCCCCTCCACCTCCGACGACCACCTCGCTCGTCACCTCTCCGCCATCTCCCGCATCCTTGACCGCCGCCGCGCCGCCCTGAATTCCTCTATGCCGCCACCGCCACCGCCGCCAGCTGGCATTTCCCCTCAGGTACGTACTTTAGTTTTTTTTTATGTTTTTTCCCAGCTGCATGTCCGACGTCGTTTGATCCTTGTTTGGACTTTTTATTGTTTATTATTATTTCAGTGGGTCGAAACCGCTGCAACCTACCCGCAGCTGCCACGTGGCTCTGGCGGTGGTCCTTCTCCTCCTCCTTGTCCTGCGCCGCCACCTTCTGTACGACGGCATAACCGCAATCGTGATCAGGTACAAAGAAACATATGTTGTTGAGGACATCAATTTCTTCGACATATATCCTTACGAATGTTTTCCATTTATTTATAACTCTTTTTTTTTTATTGGTATATGGATGGTCTTTACATAAATCAGGTACGCGGATCCGATTTGCGCAGTGCCGGCCGCCGGGAGTCCTCCGCCGCAAGAGGAACGGGCGTTTTCATCCCGAATTACGGGCAGCGTTTTCAGGAAGGTGGAAGCAGCAGCAAGCAGTACCGCCGGCGTTGATCAGAAAGGATTTGCCCGAGGAGATCGAAGATTTAATTACTAGCCAGCTAGCTCGTTTTCCCCCACTTTTCACTGTGCTTTAATTTGCAGTGGCTGCTAATTATTAATTAACCCTATGTGCATGATGTTAATTACCAAACTTCGCCGGCAAGGAGTCTAAGGTGTACAAAATATATAGGAGATATCTAATCTCTCTTTCAATTTGTTGGTCCTTTTTGGTAAAGACAAGAGTATGGGCATGTATATATATTTATATATTGGATTTTGTGAATGCAATGGATGTGCTAATTTATTATAAGTGTGTAACATTAACATATCGAATTTTAGGTCTTAATTGACCGCATTAGTATACGAGATAATGATATAACATAAGAAGAAGTTAGTTGCTCCTAAGGAATATAATTTTCTCCATTCCAACACCTCTTGCTTTCATTTTCGGATAATTTTCTCCAAATCCGTAACATTTCAACCGTCACACGCACCACTTTTCACGTTGTGCACGAATAAACCAAACATGAGTTGTTTATACAAATGTAGCATATGTAATATTTACATAATCAATTTGAGAATGTACACATTTTAGAAAGCTTTTTGTTTAGTAATTTTTAGATGATAAGTTTTATGCTTTTGTGCTTTATTGTAGTTATCAAATTTGCTCTTCAACTTGTCCTTCTTCCCGGCCGCCTTCACTATTTTTGTAAGTCCAAGCTACTACTATAATCATCGATAAATAAAAACTCCGTGCATTACTATAATCTCCAATTCATGCTAATTCTTAGAACAGGTTATGTTTGTAGTGACTAGTTTTATACCTACTTGTTAAGCTAACTCATGTGCTTTGGTCGATATACAGAGGGTTTGCATGATTATGCCAGGTTAAAGAATGGAGTTAGAAGCTGGTTTAAACCTCAATAAGATAGCTTAGACCATCTCGAACAATGGTTTAAACCTCAATAAGATAGCTTAGACCATCTCGAACAATGAAATTCATTTGCAATTTCATAAGTGGCCCCCTACTTTCATCTCTACAATTTTGAGAAAACACTTCTCAACTTCATCCTCTCTACAACAATGAAATCCAATTGCAATTTCAATGAGTGGGACCACCACATTAATTTGACACTACTAAACAATTTATATATCATCTTCATCATCTTAAATCTTTAGAATATATAATAAAGAGTAAAAAAGGGCCCACCAACGGGCCCATTTGAATTACAAGAAGAATTGCACATGATGTTTGCACCCTTGCAATAGCTTCCCACATCAATGCTATTTAAAGTTGCAATTGCAAGCCCTTACCACATCACCTTGCAAGTCACCAAAATTGCACAATTGGAGATGCTCTTATGTTGTGCTGGTTTTGTAATAGAATGTAAGAAAGTAATAGTGTAATAGAATGGAAGAAAGGAATAGATTATTAATGAAGGGTATTACGGTATTTGCTCCTTTTATGTTATCCTGACCCAATAACTAATTTTTTTTTCATCCAAACAAGATAATTTAACTCTCAAATTCTGCAAATACAACACAAATACCATACGGAGAAAAAGTGAGTTATTTGAGTTCAATTATAAACAAATACAGAGGACATTTTTTACTAGAGGAGACATGACATCATCTTGTATAACGTGAAATCATAGTGTTGATGATAAACAAATTGTTGGCAAGAGCAATTTTGTGCCCTCGTTCATATTATGTAATTCCATTCTATACATCGTGTGATGTTCAAAAAGAAAGATTATTATTAGAAAAATATATTTCATGGAAACTCTGAGCTCCATCAAATAGCAAACATTTTATCCGTGATAAAAATTGATTGTACATGTATCATGGTAGTAACTCTTATGTGGTTCTGGAGTTTAGATACAACTTTATCCACAAAGATGTTGAATTTGAAAATGAGTGTATGTAGACTAGGTACATGCATTCTACTTCATGTATTTTCCATAGAGTCAGTATTGTTACAAGATTCCTAATCAAATGCTCTGATTTCTTGTCCAATTTATTCTACGATAATTTTTCAAACAAAATACACTATAAGCATCCGCATTACAAGTGAAGTTGGATACACAAAACACAAACATCAATTTCTCCTAGCCGACTGGCCAAACTATGGGCTAGTAGTATGAGAAAATAATATTATTTTCCCATATTTATTATCGTCATTAAAGATGGGAAAAGACATAGACAATATCATGTGAATCCTTCTCAACTGCTGAAGAATATGAAATCCTTCTCAACCCTTGATCTTCTACACGGTTGTCTAAACACTTTGTTAGCTCGATCAGTACGATAAGTTTCAATCAATTCGGACAAAAATTGATAGGTAGACCATGGATATAAAACGGTTGTTAAAATTAGTAAAAAAATCATCAATATAAAGAAAACAGTGGTCAAACAGGAGTGATCAATTTTCGAACTATAAACAAAACGACGTCACGTGATGTGAGTTGGATGGTGCGAATGAAGGGTGCGTATTTAGGTTGCCAACAACCACTTTTTTAGTCTCCACCTTAACTCATTCCTTTGTTTTTTAGCCATTAGGATGCATACCTTATGAACAAGGTTGAAGGAAGTGAAAAGCTTAGGGTTCGTTTGTATGGGTGATTTATAAAATGAGTCGTTTGTTCAAATGTAAACATTTAAAAATGCAGAC